TAGTTGACTTAATGACACACAACATACATCAGTTGATGGCAATTTTAGTTGGATTGAAAGCATTGTAAGCTGAGCTGAAGACTCTCAACCAGGTGGATTGACTGATAACTACAGTAATGGACTCAAATGTGCAAGAGATTGTGAGGATGGTATAGACTGGGACTGGGATCATAGGGTTGCTGAAGCATACTCAACAGCATCTAACAACAACAACATACATCATTTCATAGCTTGACTACTGCTTCTCTTGGCATTGGTTATGGATTCAAGTAAAAGGGAAAAGTTTGAAAATATTAAATGTAGTATTTTTTTCACATTTATAATGATGTTTCCTAATGATCCAGTTGAGAGGATTTTGTTTTCTTTATATTGTGATGTATTCTATGCTGAGGGCTGTAGTTTTTGATCACAAATAAGTGCTTCAAGTTCACTTCACTTTCATTAAGCATGGTTCTGTCATTTGCATATCACAGATTGAATTTGTCTCTAATTTTGTTGCCCATTCTTCATATGCACAGCTTCTCATATTTTTTTGCTCAGCCTACACATTGAGTAAATATACATAATTATACATCACAGAACTTCTCAAATAATTATTACTAAACAAAAAAGTTAATTAACTGTACAATTAAAGTAAATGTGCCATGAATGTGTCAACACAATGCAGCAGAAGGGAGCCAATGAAAATCATCTAATGGTGAGGGATGGCTAATGCTAGAATATTGTTGCTGTTGTGAGGTGCCATCACGTCTAGTACAACTCATAGTGACCCTATGAATAAAAGATCCCAACCCTGTTCTATCCTGCGCCATCCTCATACTTCCTGACACACAAGAGCCCATTTCAGCAGTCACCATGTCCATCTACCTAGTGGAGGGTCTTCCTCTCCTTTGCCAACCCTCCACCCTTCCCAGAATAATGTCCTTCTCCAACAAATAGCCTCTCCTAGCAACATGCCCAAAGTATGTGAGGCAAAACCTCATCATTTTTACTTTCAAAGAGCACTTCATCTGCACCCTCTCCAAAACTATCTGTTTGTTTTCTTGGCCATCTTTGGGATGTTCAATAATCTTCTCCAACATCACAGTTCAAAGCATCGATTCTTCTTCTGTCATCCTTATTCATTTGTCCAGCTCTCAGATGCATAACAAGTAATTGGAAAGACTATGGCCTAAATCGGATGCACCTTAGTCCTCAGACTGACATCATTACTCCTCAATAATTTGGAGAAGTTTTAAACTGATGAACTGATGATTTTCCCAGTGCAGTGTGTCTGATTATTTGCTGACTTCTGGTACCAAGGGTGTTAATTGTGGATCCAAGCTAGATGAAGCTGTTGACAATTTCAATCTCCTCTCCATCCATCAGAAAGCTGCCTATATCTTATTTTATACTCCGGTCATTATTGTGAGAGTGGCACAGAATCAGGCATGTTATTGATCTGTTCTCCATAATGTCAATATGAGTCAATGTCAACTTGTTGGCACCTAACAACAACCAGTTGCCAATGAACTGACTCCAGCTCATGAAAAAAACCACAAGTCAGAGTGTGGGAGTACAGCTGTGATGGATAGATTTTCAATGGCTTATTTTTTATAAGTAGATAGCCAGGTATTTCTTCTTGTGTATCTTTTGGTAGACTTGAACCTACAACATTTCAGTTAGTAGCTGAGTTCATGTTGACCTGTTAGTACCTATTATAATGCATAAGTTTTCAGTTAAAGAAGACACACTTCATGGAAAGATAGAGGCTCTCTGGTCTTCCCCTTGAAGTTCTAAGACTCCTCACTCAGCCACATAGTGAATTGAAGGACATTTGAGGGTAGTTTGAATATAATAGGAATTTTTACATTTTTCTTATTCACATATTTTCTCATGTCCTTTTATAATACCTCCCCTTTTATATAATGATTTGCATGAAAATTACAAGGCAGATTGGTTTTTCAATTAATCAATTATTATTGCACATTCTCCCCTGGGATTATAATACCCACACTGTCTGAAAAGAATACTTCATGAATTTGCATTGCAGTCTTGCACAGGGACTATACTAATAGTCTATCATTTCAATTTTAGTCTATATGATGCCGAGGCTAGCACTGCTTTTACAATGTTAGTCATTTTGAGACACATCTAAGTTATCCAGAATTTAGCCACTTTCACTACCTCCTATTATCATTTTCATAATACTCTTCATTATTAAGGAGTAAAGGTTTCAGTTTCAGGACCAAGGTGCAACTGACTCAGGCCATGATCTTTTCAGTCCCTTCCTATGCATCTGAGAGCTGGACAAGGAATAAGGATGTCAGAGGAAGAATTTATGCCTTTGAGCTGTGATATTGGAGAAAAATACTGGGTATCTCATAGACTGTCAAAAGAGCAAACAGCTATGTCTCAGAGAAGGTGCAGCCAGAGTGTTTCTTGGAGGCAAGGATTATGGAACTTCATATTACATACTTGGAGCATGTTGCCAGGAAAGGCTATTACCTTGGAGAAGGACATCATGTTTAGAAAGATGGAAGGAGAAGAAGACTCTGAACCAGGTGGATTGACACGGTGACTGCAGGATTTTTCTTTTTAAAACTTTTATATTGGTTTGTATTCAAAATTCATATGCATTGTGTTGTTTCCTAACAACTCCTTAAAATGATACTATCTTAACTCAGTCCCTTGCCATAGAATTAGAACTGATGCATAGCTGACCCTCCAGCAGGTTTCAGAGGTTGTAAATCACATGGGAAGAAATTGTTCTTCTTTCTCATGAAGAGGTATTGGTACCAGAGAGGTGCTATCTTTGGAGTTGAAGCACATCTCCCTATAGACAACAAGAGAATTAATTTAAAATAATATGTGTGGTGGTCTAGTGGCAAGAAGCTGTGCTGCACTCCTGAAAATACACAGGTCAAATCCACCAGTTGATCCACAAGAGAAGGGCTGGCAGTCTCTTCCTATGTGATTAACTGCCTCTGAAAACTCACTGGAGTCAACTATGGGTCGTTTCCAACTTGACGGTAGATGATATATATAATCATATTTGTTGTTTCTAACCTCCCACTTGAGTGCAAGCTTTGTGAAGGAAAACACCTTTTCCTGTTTTATTCACTGACACATCCGAGATGTGTAGTAGGTATTGCATGAACATTTGATGACCAACAAGGAAAAGTAATTGTTTAACATATGAATGGTAATTACACAATATAATCTTCACTGAACACTTCCTGTGTGGCTGGCAATATGTATGCTTATGAAACAGGTACCATTGAGACCCCAAAACTGTGGAGAGGCAATTCAGGGTCACAAATATTAAATTAGTCATTGTCTAACAGGCAATATAGTTACAAACTTAGACTTAAGTCCAATAAACCCATTTTTAAAAAAATATTTAATATTGGTTTACATACAAAAGTCGTATACATTGTGTTTTGTTTGTATACATTGTGTTTCATTCATTCTTCCATTTACATTCTGTTTCATATTACCATTCTTATATTGTGTTTTATGAAATGAATCACAGTTGATCCATGCCCGTCAGTATCCCCCCTTTTCAGGTACCCACTGGATGTTTACTATTTCCTTCACCTCCTTGTTCTGCCCATCAAACTCTGCTACCTCCATATTTCCCCCTTCCTACCCTCAGATTCCCTCCTCCTTCCCCTTTTCCCCATGGGACCACTCTTACTAGTAGTCCTTCTATTTTTAAAATAATGGTCTTTTGTAGTATTTATCCTTATGAGACTGAGTTAGTTCACTCAGCATAGTACTCTCTGTTGTTGTTGTTGTTGTTGATAAATACCGTCACATAATAGATGATTCATGATTCATAGTGACCTATGAATGAAAGACCTGCATGCTCTCTAGACTCTCTGATATTGTTGTGGTTGTTGTTGTTGTTGTTGTTATGTGCTGTCCAGTCACCTAGGACGCATAGCGGCCTTATATACAACAGCCCTAAAGCCCGCCCTATCCTGTGCCAATCTCACTGTATCCAACACACCTACTCCCAATACCCCAGTCACTGAATCAATCCAACTCATAGAGGGTCTTCCTCACTTGCGCTGTCCTTCCACCCTCCCAAGCATGATGTCCCTCTCCAAGGACTGATCCCTCCTTGTAACATGTCCAAAGTATGTCAGATGAAACTTCAAAATCCTTGCCTCCAAGGAGCAGCCTGGTTTAACCATCTCCAGGATGAACCTGTTCATTTTCTTAGTAGTCCATGGTATATTCAACACTCTTCTCCAACACCACTCAATTCTCCTTCTATCCTCCCTAGTCATTGTCCAACTCTCTGATGCATAGTAAGTGATTACAAAGATGATGGCCTGTATCAGGTGCACCTTAGTCTCTAGAGTGACACCACTGCTCTTCAGTACTTTGGAGAGGTCCCTAACACCAGACTTTCCCATCGCAATACATCTTTTAATTTCCTGACTGCTGGTGCCAAGAGTGTTGACTGTGGAGCCAAGCAAACTAAAGCTATTAACAATCTCAATCTCTTCACTATCCATCTTGATTTGCTCCTGAGTGCTGCATAGTATTCCATTACATGAATGTACCACAATTTCTCAATCCGTTTTGTTGTTGATGGACATTTGGGTTATTTCTGCTTTTTTGCTGTTGTGAATAATACTGAAAAAGTCTGATTTTTGTGGACCTGAATCAAGCATCGCAGTGTTGTTTCTATGTAATTTAATGGTTGCTCCTATAGAATTTCATTTGGGGAAAGGATACTTGAACTATTTACTTCATCTCTTCTCCTTTGTCTCTTGGTTTTGCAAATGAAAAGAAAGTAGACCACTTTCCTCTACCACAGTTTAAGGATTTGCTTCTAATTTTAAAAAAAATGAAAAATCCTATTCTACTCTACATTTTATTTTGACATGAGTTTTGCTTGTTTGTTTTCTGGTTTTGTTCTGTGTCTTGCTTGTTTGTTTTCTGGTTTTGTTCTGTGTCCTTGCCCTTTCTTATACCTCTTTTACTCTTCTAATTTTTCCTTCTAGGAGAATGATATAAATCTGACCCACATTGAATCCAGACCTTCACGTTTGAAAAAAGATGAGTATGAATTTTTCACTTACCTGGACAAGCGCAGCATACCTGCCCTGGCGAACATCATCAAGATCTTGAGGCATGACATTGGCGCTACTGTTCATGAGCTTTCCCGAGATAAAGAGAAAGACACAGGTAAGAATAAAAGCATTCAGTAAGACTATTTTATATTCCTTTCATAAGGTGTGAAAATAATGTGGGAACAAGATGTCGAGAAGGTACCTAGACCAGCACCCAGCATATTAGAGGCACTTGATTAAAACAGAACAACCAGAGAAGCCCGTGAGTTTAAAATAGTTTGATGACTGTGAACTTTTTTTGGTTTGATTTCTTTTTTTTTAATTATTCTTATTAATTTTAATGAAAATTTGCAGAGACTTTGGATTTCCATTCATTCATTGTTCACTTTTCTCGCTGCCCCCCTCCACCCAGTTCGATCTTCTCTTTGAAAAGTAAAAGAAAAATTCTTTCATTGTTAATACAATCCCTCCCCGCAAGTCCACTCCACTATTCAGCCCTCATTCTGGACTCCTGTCATGACAATAATACTGTTTCTTTAATGTTAATTGCAGCAGCATTCTTTCTGCTGCTAAAATCTTAATATATATTTTTTAAAAGCCCTGGATTATCATGCCCTCAGTAGCTTATGCATTAACAAGACATACTCTCTAGTTACCTTCATTCCAGCTCAAATGAACTCAGATAAATGGTTAGATTTTCTTCCAGGTAACCAAATAATTATTGTTTTTCTATTATAAATCCTGGTCCTTCTATCCAGTCACCTTGATTTTTAGATTATTTCTCTGTGTCTTTATCTTTCACTAGATTATGAGTGTTCTTGGCAGCAGGGAGAACAGCACAGTTCTTGGTACAAAGATGCTCAGAAAATATCTTTGAGTGGGTATGTAAATAGATCCCTTATCAAGATTGAAAATTTGTTCCTCTATCTACTTACTGCCATGTTAGCCATTGCTACTCCCTGGGACGTCACAGGCCATGGAGTATTAAGTGGTGATATGCATTGATTTGGGTTTGGGCAGACGTTAGCCCTGCCTCTGCCTCCCCTCACATCCTTTGGACATGTTACTAGAAGGTGCTATTCTTTGGAGAAGAAATGATGCTGGGAAAGGTGGCAGGTCGGCAAAGGAGAGGAAGACCCTCATCCAGGTGGATTGACACGGTGACTGTTGCAATGGGCTCTTTTGTCAGGAAGTGTGAGGGCGGCACAGGATAGGACAGGGTTCATATCATTTTGTTCATAGGGTCAGTATGAGTCGTACTTGACTTGATGGCACCTAAAAACAACAACCACTGCCAACAACTGCTACTTATGAGCTTTGAGGCCCTTGACTGTTTTACCTCTCTGGCCTCAAAGAGCATGGCTTTATGAGGAGGAAATGAGATCGTACATAACAAACAGAGCTTAGAACGGTGCCTGGTGCATTACAAGCACTTGAATCAATGACGGCATGTGGTGGTTGTCATGATTTAAATGACCCTGAAAAGGAAACAGAGGCACTGGGTGGCTGCTTTTTAAGATCCCAAGCATGTTCAGATAAATGATTGTTTATCTGATGAACCACTGCTTATCTTATAAAATGTTATTATCCTCAATAACTCAAAATAACAAAATTATACTGTCCAATTGTAAAGGCAAACATTTTCTGCTAAAGCTTTGAAGATCTTAGGCTAAACTAAGATCAAACTCTGTAACCAAAAATAATATTTTTAAAAAGAATGTATATTTTTATGTTGTTTTGCATGCAGAATTCATATAGGTTGTGTTTCATTCATGTACATTGTGTTTCACACATTCCTTCGCTCACATTTGTTTCAGTCAGTCATTCATATATATGTTGTGTTTTATAAAATTAATCACCATTGGTTTATGCCCACTATCACCCTGCCTTTTCAGGTCCCCACTGGAAACTAGCATTTTGATAGGTAGAGATGTTGGTAAACAAGACAAGACCCACCTGCCAACTCATGCCATTGAAACCCTGTCTGAAGTAGCTTCCAGAACTTCCTAGGAGATGCCTCTGGCCCTGCCCTCATCCTCCTGGGGTTTTTCAGAGGCTAAAAAGCTCACCCCAGGGCTCTGCCCTTGCTGAAGCCTTGCAGATGGGTTCAGGCCACTGGGGGCAGGCACTGGAAATTCCTCCTCAGCTAAGCCCTTTCCCCTTCATCCCCCTGACCTGCTTCCCTGATGTCTGCCCTCTCCTGCTTTTCAGGCCACCTGCTCCCAACAGGAGCTGCAGGCCTTCCAGGACAAAGGGCCACCAGACCCTGGGGCCAGCTCTGTCTCAAATTGGAGCAGGTGGAGCCTAGGGCAACTGGGGTTGTGGGCGGTGGGTAGGAAAGCAAAGTAATTGACTGGCAGGCAAGCAGGCGGCTTCTTGGGGATCTGATGAGGGCAATTGTAGAGAAACTGAAGGGCTTGAAGCCCACGCTGGGGGCTCCAGAAGGATTTTCTTAGTGAAGATGTGGAGCCCAGACTTCTATCAGTCCACACCTGCTGTGATTTGGGGTGCATTTCTGACCTCTCAGTCTTTCTCTGTATAAAATAGGAGTAAAAGACACTACTGCCTTACAGGATTATTGAAATAACAAAAGTGAAACACTTTAAAGGCTTAACAACTGTTCTCTAGTCTTCCCAATACAGTCATTGTAAATATAATGGCATGCCCACCCGAAAACCAAACATGGCTACCAAGTAATTTCCGAGTCGCCTGGGGGTCACAGATTCGAACGCCTCTCCTGGGTTCTCTTGGTTGTAGTCGTTACAGAAGCAATTGCCAGGCCTCTCTTCCACAGCGTCCCTGGGTGGGTTAGAAGTGTCAACTTCTGGGTTAGAGGCAGAGAACAAGTTGTCTTCACCACCCAGGGACTCTGACATGAGCACAGGCACGTGAAATAGCTACAGAATTGCATTTTCACAGAATCTGAAATTTGGAAAATTACCTCAGAGGTCATGTAGCCCAGCAGACTCCTAATTTCCATCGTAAAAAAAAAAAAAAAATAAAGTGTTCACTGTGCGGACTGAGGGCAGGACGTGTGCTGATGCAGAGTAGATTCTGTGGAGTTGAATGGCGCAGCGCCAGGAGCCAGAGAAAGAGAGTGAGAACTACCACTCACTGGCTGGTTCAGGAGCTCACGGTCTGGCAGGAGGACGTACGACCCCCAGGTGGACACAGTCAAGTCCTAAGTGCTGTGAGTGTGGAGAAAGGGTTAATGGAATTTTACTCCATTCCAACACTTAACTACAAGAACCTACCAAGTGTAGAAGAAACACACACACACACACACACACACACACAGAGAGAGAGAGAGAGAGAGAGAGAGAGAACACAACAACCCCAAACAAAAACAGACGTGTTTTCATGCTTGGCTTGAGTAAGCGCTGTGAGACCATCAGTGGGTGAATGTAACATGGGCTTGATTACCTGGAGAGAATTCTCACCCCATTGCTCAGAATGACATTGTAGGAACTTCATGTTGGGGACTGAAAGGAAGATATTTTAACTAGTGATGGGAAAAACTGAGACAGTGTCTTTAAAACAGCACGTGTTTTGGGACCTTTGTTTATTTAGGACACTCTATTTCGTAATTACTGTCTCCACTTGAAACCTTCTTCTGACCTCAATTTACCAGTTGCCCTTGAAAAGATTCCGATTTGTGACACCCTACTTATGTCGGAGTAGAACTTTTCCAAAAAGTGTTCTTATTTCAGCAAATAATTTGCCTTTTCCACATGCTTCACACTTACAAGTTAGTAGCTTTAGTTATTTTTGTTGTGTGGTTTTTCATTGACTGAGTTTTTGGGAAGTGGACCACCTAGGTACCTCTAGGTAGACTTGAACCTCTAACCTTTAGTTAGTAGCTGGGTGTGTGAACCACTGTCATCACCTAGGAACTCAGACCTAGGGACTCAGACCTTAAGCTACATGCAACTAAACACCTGTAAAGGTTGTAACAGGTGTGATGACTGACCTTCAACTTGGGGTGAGACATGAGCCCTTTTCATTCCTGCTGTTATTGTTATAAATGGAAGTCTGGGTCTAAAACCAGATTTAAAAAAATAAGGGAAACAGCCATCCTTTTGTAAGATTGCTCTTTCGTGGAACTCAGTGGGAGGACGATTAGAGGAAGAAAAGCATCGTGGTAGATCTGACCCTTTGATTCTTTCTCTGGACAAAATGCCCTTTTTATTGAGGTGCTCAGATCTCTGGGGCAGGTCTGACAGCAGGCTGAAGAGAGAGAACTGAGCCCCTCAAATCAATTAGGCTAAACCACTTGCCATTCTGCCTTTAAACGGCTCGAAAGACCATGTGGGTGATAGAAAATGAAAGTTTTCAGTTTCTTAATCACCGAACTTCCCCACCCAGGACAGCTTAAGGGAAGGTTAATTACAGTGACATGTTAAAGAAACCCCAGCCTTCTAAACTGCCTCCTGGAGAAGTCGATGTGGGTTTAATGGGATTTTAATCCAGAGGGTCTTTTGAATACTTGAGGTCTATTCTCCTGCTTGAGATCTCTCCTGATGGCATCAAATCCTCCCTCAACCCAACATGAAAGAGCATTAATATCTTCCATCGATCAGTCTACTAATCCTTTTACCTTTTCCTTTGAGTCTTCTGCATGACATTACACTTAGCAGGGGATGGAAATTCCTACATGGAGACAGATTGCAGCCAGGAGAAGCGGACTGACCCAGGTCTTGGGTAGATAGGAGTACAGGTTCATCACCTTTTGAGTGATTTTTTCTGGTTACAGTTGTTTCTCAGGAAATAAATGAACACGTAGTGCATTTTATTTGCGTTGTGGCGGTTACAGGAGAGCTTTGTTGTAGAATCAAAGCATGGCATGGCTACTAGTCTAGTGGATGGTCTGTGGGGAATGGAACACCAGAGTGGGGGTGGAAAAGAGAAAGAGATGAAGAGAGAGATGGGCAGGGACACACAGAGACAGAGAAAGAGAGAGGGGGAGGGAGGGAGGAAAAGAAAGGAAGGAAAAGAAAAAGAATGAAAACATCCTGAGAAGCAGAGTTCTATATCTGAAACACATGGAATTATGATGAATTTGAATCCATTCCACAGCTACTGGTTGGTTGGTTTGTTTTTTTTTTTTTTTTTGTC